TTCAGCCAAGCCCTAGCCAGTCTGGCTCAGTGGACAGAGTATTGGCCTGCGGACCAAAGGGTCCTGGGTTTGGTTCTGGTCAACCGCACGTACCTTGGTTGCAGGATCCCTGGTCAGGGCTTGTGCAGGAAGCAACCAATCGATGTGTTTCTCTCACATGGATGTTTCTCTCTGTCTTTCTCTCTCTCTTCCACTTTCCCTAAAAATCAACAGAAAAATATCCTCGGATGAAGATTAAAAACAAAAACAAAAACAAAAAAACTTCAGTCAAGCAACTGAAAACATTCATGAGGCTACTTATTACCCACAGTGATAAGGAGGCGATGCCCGAGGACCTGGACACAATGAGAGCAGACTACTAGTATTAAGGAGCCAAAACTGATCTCAGGGAAGCGGAAGGAGGAACATTAATGGACTCAACTTCCAGAGCTGGCTACTCTGGAACCTTCCTCGCCACCAGCACTGATCAAATGGAGAGACAGACCATCAAGATTGTGAACAGGAAACTAAACTGAATTGCTTTTTCAAGTGTTGTTGCTCATCTACCTAAATATCAGTTTCATTCTTTGTCTTATTTGTGTGGTCTAAGCACTAATTTAGATGTACTGAAATAGAAGAAAAATTAAACCTGGAGGAGAGCAATGATTTTTAGCCAGAGGTGGGCACCAGAATCACTTGGGTATGCATTCTGTCTCAAGGTAAGAAAAAATATTACATATACCTGGACCCATCCCCAGAGATTCTGAAATATACACCTACCTGAAATCACAACTACTATTAAGGAAACAGCATACTGAAGTAGAAAGAGCATAAGACTTAAAGTTGAAAACATAATATCAATTTTCGTTCTCACTATTGGTTAGCTAGGCAACCGAAAAATGTTGGTCAACCTTGAATTTCCTTTCGCTCTTTTTTAACTCCACATATTATGGAGATGAAATTTTAAAGAATTATGTGAAAAACTTTGTTGTAAAACTATACGAAGTATTAGAAAGTACTTTGCAGACTTCTCCAATAACAAAGTTTATCATTTTTCTATTTTCCCCCCTCCCCATTCTGGTACTCTAGTTGTTTTAATTTTATACAATGTCAGAAATAATGCCTTGGCCACCAGAAACTTCTATGGAATGCTCCCTGTCCTAGCCACTTCTAGAGACCTATTACAATAGACAGGCTGGGAACAACCCCATCAAATGATACTGCCTAATTAATTTAAGTGTTTTGGCTTCATTCTATAGATAAAGGTATTATAAATGTCACTTTGTTACATGCTTTTAGATATATTTAAGTCTTTTAAATTTTTTAATTTTACAAGGTAACTAATGTTACCTCCATTTTACTGATAAGCAAATTGAGGCTCAAAGAAGTTAAGTAACTTACCAGAAAAGTTACAACTAGTGAGTCCTGGACTCAGAATTCAAATTTAAACTAATTTCTTGGCCTTTTTACTACTTCATGAATTTTGCTACAAGAAACAATTTCACTTTGAAATAACATAATTACTGACACAAATTACTGACACAAAGTTTTAGGCAACTTTAAGTTTGAAATACTCAATATGGAGATGGCTTACCATATGTAAAGAAAACAGCTCAAGCTAGTCATATACTTCATCTTCGAAAGTTACTAAACTGTTATAAAAACTGGTATGAGAAATGAGCTTACATGTTGCTGCTAACTTCCTTCTACTGGACAGGAAAACAGTGCTGTCTACAGAACTCTCTGTGACCACAAAAACAGTCTCCCATCTGTGCTGCCCCAAATGGTAGCTACAAGCCACGTATGGCCCAAAAGGAGCACTTGAAATGTGACCAGTGCAACTGAGGAATTGCATTTTAAATTTTATTTAATTTTCATAAAATATGAAACCTTAAAATATAGAGAAGATAAGGAGCATACATTTATAAACTAATTAAAAACTTCCGTAAATTGATATTTCACTTGTAGCCTCAAGCTCTTAATTTTCATTGTCCAAAGAAATTACTTAAAATTCAAGCAGCCAAATACATAAAATTAAAATATTTAGCAAGTACAAGCACATATCCATACAGTAATTGCAGATCGAGACACATGAATAAAAGCAGACAGCCAAAATCCTTTGGGGGGCGGGGGGGAGGAGAAAGAAAAACAACAAATAAAACCAAATTTGTTAAAGGCAGCCAAGGAAATTCCATGCGAAAATTTCATAATCATCACAACTCTATTTTCAGATCAAGCATCCAAACAGGTATATGATCTTTTCAGCAAAATACAATGCCAAGCACTATTATGGATCAGGCGTTTTACCTGAAGACTTATTTTTTGTTCTTGAACCCTCAATGATAGCAGTAGAAAACAAAAGCAGCTGAAATGTGAAATAATCCCTAGAAAAATCAAGAATTAAAAAAAATTCACAACATTAGTAAGAAGCATTTACTCAAAGTATGAAAAATTGGGGCTTGCAAGGTTTATTAATAAGTACTTTGTGACAAAGTTATCTCTAATGAACTTAAAAGAAGTTAACATTATTCTAGATTATAGGTCCAAGAGCTGTTACTATACTCAAATATACTCAGGAGAATTAAAAATGATATTTTAACAAAAGGAAATTGTCTTTTTTAGTGTAAGACAAATATATCAATAAAAACACGGGATAGCTTTCATTAAACTATTTAAAACTCAAAGTTCCTAGTCAATGTCAGTTTTTATAACTTCTTACAAAACTTATTCTGTTTCCAGGAGGAATTACTAGCTTCCTCTGCTTAGATGCCATTGACAATTACTGCATTAACGCTTTCTTTGGTTTAAATATAACTGAGAATTGACCAAAAATAATAAGCCACTTTTCATCTGCATTGTTAAAAACTTAATTTAAAACTAAGACTGATCTGGCTGGTGCAACTTGGTTGGACCAAGAGGCTGCCAGTTGGATTCAGTGCACATGCCGGGTTGGGAGCTTGATCCCCAGTGGGGGGCACGCAGGAGGCAACCAATAGTTATTTCTCTCCTTCTCCCTACTTCTCTCAAATCAATAAAAAAATACATAGATAGATAGATATGGATATATATATATTTAAATAAAGACTAATTCCTCAAAAGGGAATAGAACTTGTAACTCTTCTGATGACTTTTAAGAAAAAACACATGCATTCTTGGGAATATTTTGACAATCGCCATTGGGCACCCTCTCCAAGAAAATTTAAGTAAAATAAAATGGAACCCAAACTGAATGTAAAATATACAAAAGGAACACTAACTCGATACTTACATATTTAGCTTTCTTGGGCCTTTTTGTTCTTAACTTACCTAAAAAAGCTAGCTCAGGATAAAGTACTTTATAAAATTAACTAGAGGCCTGGTGCATGAATTCATGCACACTGGGGTCCCTCGGCCTGGTCGGCCGACTGGAGCTGTCTTGCAGTCCCGATCAGGGCAATTGGGGCTGCCTGTGGGTAGGTGTGGGCGGGGGGCAGGGAGGTTGGTATTGCAGAGGTTGGCCAGCCAGAGATAGGGTCCGATCGTGGCCACCGGCAGTGGGGTAGGGACATGGGGTGGTTGGCCGGCTGGGGGTGGAGAGGAGGAACACGGGAGGTTGGCCGGCCAGCCCCAATGGGGGCCGGCCCACAGGGGGTAGGGAGGGAGGGACCAAGGAGGTTGGCTCTGGGAGTGTACTGACCACCAGGGGGCAGCTCCTGCATTGAGTGTCTGCCCCCTGGTGGTCAGTGCGCATCATAGCAATGGGTGGTTTGGTCGCTTAGGCTTTTATAGATATACAGATTATCTCACAAGCTGCAAAAAGTCATACAAATCACCTAAGAAATTATTACATGCCTAATCTTCAAATCAAATTAACTTTCATATGTCCTTTGTCAAAAATCAACAATAAACCAAAATTTAAAACCAACTGCTACACTGATTTGCTAAATCCTAAACAAGTATTTTCTAAATGCACTGTCCACATAAAAAGAAACTGCTGAATATATAAAAAAAATAGAGTAAGTATACTTTGAACTAAACTTAGTTTCAGGTCCCCTTTTCTTTTGAATCACTACAGAGCAAAACAACATTCCAAAATAAACCCCACCAAATCAAATGTAGTTTCTTAATGGCAACAAAAAAGGAACCAAACAATCGGATAATATGTTACTATAGACAGTTCTAGGTTCAAACTCCAACTCTCCATCTTATTCAGGAAAATAATGGGGATAACAACACCTACTTCATATGGCAGTGGTAAGAATTAAATAGGGTAATACCTATTACATGTCTAGCACTGTACCTGGCAAGAGCAGGTTTGTTCTGAGGACTAGTTACGTGATTAATGGCAAGAAAGAACTCTTCCTCTGAGTTTGCTTTCTCCAATCTAAACAAGCGATGAAACCTGCAGGCTGCACTTGTCTCTCAAGATTGCTGAGAGCAGGAAACCATAAAAATTCTAGAAGAATCCAAAGGCAACAAAATCTCAGACATATTGCCGAAGCAATTTCTTCACTGATACAGCTCCTAGGACACTTGAAACTAAAGAGAAAATGAACAAATGGGACTACATCAAAATAAAAAGCTTCTGCACAGCAAAAGAAACCATCAACATAACAAGAAAGCCCACTGCGTGGGAAAACGTATTTGCCAA